TAAAGCATGGCAACCAATCCGATACCGCCGTGCGTGTCTATGTCGCGGCGGAATGAGGGTTTGAATGGGTCCGTGTCGAAGATCCGGAACCCGTTTTGGAGTCCAACTAAGAAGCAGGTGTGGTTTTGGTTGAAGGATAGGTGGTAGATTGGCGGGGTTGCTACTCGATTCGGGTTGTGGGTTATGGCGGCGGCGGAAGAGTTTTTGGGATGGCCGGGTTCGAAATCGCACCCGGGTCGGGTCGCCATGAGAGGCTTGGGGTTGAAGAGAGTAGAGTGTTGAGAGGGGATGCGGGGATTTTATACCTCATGATGACACTTGGCAAGGTAAAGTTTAGTCTAGTCCTTATATTAATACAGATGTTTATTGAAATCCAAATCAATCACCATGATCACAAATTGAATAATAGAGAGAATTATAATATACAAAAGAAAATCAGACTCTACAATTGTATTAGGGAAAAACTAATATGGACCCTTGTAAACTAATTAGAACAAGAAAGCAATCTATGGTGCCGAATGGTGGAGCCTGTGGCAGTCGAGTTGCTTCATAATATGCTGGATTATACGGTGATGACTTGGGTGCACTTAAGCATCCTCCGTGGTGTCTTGACGGCAGCAATTGCGATGACCATGCCGGATTAATAAGATTCTCATCGACCTTCTTAGGAGCACCCCTAATCTTACCATTTCCAAAATCATACTTGAAAACCAAGCAACCTTGATGCTTTCCTGATAGTGTCACGACCGGACAAGAACCCTCCTTTGCTTGCTTCGTCTTCTGTCCAATCATCCAAAAGCAGCTTGACCGGAAAATATACTTCTCCAAGAAGTTGGTTTCCACCAAGGATTATCGGGGTGCTCCAGATTTAAAACACAACCATCAATTGACTCTGCTGCAACAGTAGTGAATCTTCCAAGTAAAATCTCATCGGATAATCCCAAGTTGGACTGCTTCCTCTGTATGTGCAAACCGGTGTTTCTTGCCTGGAAATCAGAGAGCCACCGACGATGGAGGCCACAACACGAGTTTTGGAGAACAATTTTGAGAGTTTAAGGCCTTTCAAGCACGTCACTATAGTAATGTCCACGGTCCTATAATCCATTGTTGTGATCTTGAAGGAAAAGATCAAGAAGGTCAATATTAAAGCTATTTGAGCTGATTGAGGGGAGAAATCTGGCTTTGCATGCACAAAAAGATCAGGGTTTTTTAAGTGCTACGTGACATTATATAATCATATTGAAGAGAAACCCCTAGCATAGTTTTTTAATCCGGCCTGGTGGCTGGTCCGGTTCAAGACTCGGGTTCCAGGTTTTGACCGGGTCACCAGGTTTTGACCGGGTCAATTTCTATTTAAAAAAAAATTCAAAACGACGTTGTTTTAGTAAAAAAATAAATAAAAATCAACGGGTTACCACCGGGTTTTTAACTGGATTTTGCCAGGTTGTCCAGGTTTCCAGGTCAACCTGCCGGGTCGGCCGGGTCACGCCAGGTCATGGCTTACTTTATTTTTTCATCAACTCGGCCCAATTCCAGTCCCGGATCAGTCGGATCCCGAGTCAACCTGCCGGGCTGAGCCGGGTTTTAAAACTATACCCTGTAGTGCCAGAATCTAAGTCATGGTAGAAAACAATGATATTACAAATTAAGCTTACCGAAGATTACTAGGATTTTGATACCTTAATTATAAGTATTTCTTTCTAAATACTTGGGAAAGCAATACTAAAACGATAAAACCTAGAAGACATCAAACATTGAAGCAAACATTAAGCCTTTTTTTTTCCCAGCATTTTAAAGTTCACTAATAAATTAGCAATTTAATGTATTTCTTCTTCTTTTACCATGGCAAGAGGTGTATATTCTAACACCAAACAACACAGTGAACTATTCAAATAACACTAAACTAATCATTGTGATGGTGGTAATGTTATTATTATTTTTTTAATATTTTTAAATTGTTTTGATACGTTAATATTAAAAATAATTTTTTAAAATAAAGAAATTAATTTAATGTATTTTTAAATATAAAATATTTTAAAAAACATTTTTTTTGGAAAAAAAACCAAAGGGTATTGATGCCCCCCACAGAAAGCTTCTTTTCCCCCTCCCTAATGGAAAGGCATGCAAGAACCCATTAACACTGCATTAGTCTTAACGAAGAAGCTGCCATGGTTTCTTTCCTTTATTATTCTCGCTGCATCCTTCCTCTATTAGTTTGGATACATACATGATTTTATGCCTTCTGCACTCTCGCGCTAGCACTGATGAGGCAGAGGACGCATGCATTTTGGTGAGTGTAATTCTCGAACCATGCTAATGATCAAGAAATTAAGCACTTGAACTTCGAACATGGATCGAGTGGATTTTTTTATTAATTATAAAAAGGCTCGAACACGAGATCTCTAAAAGAAAAGGGCCTGCTATCAGTTGAGCAATATGTTCATCAGCAACATGAGTCAGAAATTTGTTAAGAAACAAAAAGAAAGAAAAAGCTTAGTATAACTCAAATAAAATAGTTATTCAGATCCCTGGTTACCTACGTGATAAAACCTAATAAAAGAAAAGCCTTTCAAATGGAAGGAAATAAGAAAAAAAAAAAGAAATACTAAAAGTCAAAGCCACCATCAAAACCACCATCAAAGCCACCATCATAACCACCCATGTCACCAACATCAGAAATCATATCACCAATCAGCAATCCACCAAGCAATCCGGCTCCCAATCCCAAACCCATATTTCCTCTACCACTCTTCTTAGGCTTCTGTTGTATCCCAGGTTGATACCCACCACCATACATGGGTTGTGGTGGGTAAACCGGATACCCATGTCCGGGAGCAGGTGGGTACCCACCATAACCATGTTGTGGCGGCGGCGGCTGATTATAAGGATATGGATAAGGAGTCTGGTGCTTATCCCCCACCGCTTGAGGCGGTGGCGCAGGGTATGCATAACTTGAACCTGCAGCACCCTGATATCCCATCACAGGGTAGGCAGCGACAGGCTTGTTCATTTCCTTCCCGCCGGCAGCAGCATGATATCCCATGGCAGGGTAAGCAGAGACGTTCCCGTCCATCTTTTTCGCCATTGCCGGGGCAGTAACATTGAATTTCTCGCCAAATTTAAACAAGAAATTCAATGTTCCTTTCATCCTCCCTCTCGGGGTACTGACGGAATAGCTTAAGGAACCTTTCCCATCCTTTGCACCCAGCAATTCATTGACAGGCACAAAGACTACACCAACATCTTTATCTCCCAACATTCGCTCAGCTTTAAGCATGAACTTGAGCTTTAAGCGATTCTGTTGAGCAGCCACATCATCAATGGTGAATTTCAAGGGGAAATTCCATACAGGATTTGGCCCAGAGTCTTTATGAACGTGTGTCTTCTGTTTCTGCTTAGAATTATAATCATCTCCTTTGAGAGAAACAACACAGTACACATCCATCTTGCCGAAAAGATTGACATCTTTGAGATCTTTGGCTGAGATAACTGTGATCTCTAATGACCTGCACTCCATGATACTATTTTCCTCTACAAACAACAAAAGCGATCAAGGTATTGTTATCAAGAAAAAGAGAGAATTTTATCCTTAAAGATTGTTCTTTTTTCGGGGTTTTCTATAAGAGTCAATTGAGAAACGTTGGGTATATATACAATGCTGTTTGGTTTGAACGAAAGTGACAGGAAAATTCCTGAGCCGCGCGAGCCGTCTTATATGGAGAATTAAATGAGAGGTTCAAGAGGGTTCCCCTTTTTTAGATTCTCTATGGAATAATATCCTACGCGTTCTTTCCCAAAAGCAATAGTTATCTATAAGCTCTATAAAATATATATATCAAAATTATCTTTTAAAATTTATTTTTAACATTAATATATTAAACTAAAAAATAAAAAATTGTTTTTTTTTTAAATATAACTCGACCGTTTGGAGATTAATTTGACAAATTATAATAAATAAATCTTAATTAAATCAGATAAAATATTAATATTAATATTAATAGTACCTTCCTCTTGATCCGATAATCACATACAATCTATTCAAGTGATTCAAGTTAAATGTGTATTCATAAAAAGAATATAATTCGTTAATTATCTTGTAAGAGGATAAGCATAATAATTAGAGGTAATAATTAAGATAGAATGGTGGATAATATCGTTTTTGCCGCCGGGCAAATGCTTGGAATCCCCGTGTCTGTATTTAATAGGAAAGTAACTCTTGCTAATTAAGATTAGATATGTAATTTTTATTTGCCTTTTCCTTACTCTCGAAGTAAAAAAAAAAAAAAAAAAAAAAGTATCCTTCTAGAAGGACGGGGAATCAACGGTAGAGACACGTCAAGGCACACGTCTCCTTGAAACTGAACGTGTAGCAAGCAGTAATATTATATACAGCAGCCGATTTCTATCATCACAACGATTTGTTGCCGGCTTCATAGCATGACCCGTAGTATTACGTAAAACCTGGATTGACATGATGGCTCCACTTGGGTGCCATTTATTTGGGTTTTTGCAATATTTTAAAGTTGAAAAAAATAGAAAAAAATAAAAATTTATTTGATTGGATGAAAAATTTAAGTTGATTTGAGATAAATTTGATGTGATATTAAAAAAAATCATAATTTGATTTTGAGATATTTAAAAATATATATTGATTGCCTTTAAAAGTACTTTTTATTTAAAAATACATGAGAATATATTTTTTTTATTTTTTAAAATTTATTTTTTACACCAAAAACTATCCAAAAACACTAAAAAAATTAATGAGTTAGATATAATTTAATCCAACCAATTAGTCCTTAAGTTTTTCCAATGGATATACTTAATCTCTATATTTTTAAATTCATACACATCCACTTGACTTCTTTTTTTTAATTTATTTATTTTATTATAAAGTATAGGAAAAGCAAGAGATATTTTCTTGAAACAAAATATTACTGAATTAGGCATGGCGAACACTCATCAGATGACTATTTAATTATTTTAATACTGCAAGGACTTACTAATTTATTATAGGAGAAAATAATCATTAGATTTTGGGTGCGACCATAGACGTTCGGTGGACTATATAAAACGAATTCAGTGCCATGGGCAGGTCGCTATCTAACAGGAAGAGGCACCGAGCAAATTGGTACGAGCTCTCACCACATGCAGATCAAGCACATGATGATCGGCGTTATGCACCGCGACAAATACATTGTTTTTGACAGGTGCATTTACAGTGGACCGCGCTGGCAAACGGGCACCAAATGGAAATGCCATAAGCAGGTACAACGTGAGACAAAATAAAGGGGGAAAAAGAGCCCAAAAGCAAAAGGATGGCACTGGTACAAATTCTTGACTAGTCCACTCTCAAAACTACATAGTTTTACACCAAACTTGATCGTGATGGATTTGCTTAAATGGCACCCAGCAAGAAAGACCCCATGTCCATAAGTTTCAGTTGCTGCTTCTCACGAGAAAATTTTGGGCGGCCATGTCGATTGTGTCTCAATTGCTTCATACCCAAGAGCAATCGTGCAGCTTTGGAGGAGATGGCTGGCTTTTTTTTTTTTTTTTTGTTTGTCATGTAGTCCAATCCTTTGATGAGAGTTGCGTGTATCGGCCCATATTTGTTGTCAAAGAGGGTGGTACGGCATATAGCCTAACAAGCCTGACACAGAGGTGACAAGATCGTTGCATGTTGTCAAAAGGCTCAGCATCTGCTGAGAGATATCTATGCTTGGTGTACTAGGTCCAGAGCTTGGAGGAGTAATGAAATTGTGCAAATTTCTGGGTGGTACTTCAGTATGATGGTGTGAATTATTAAGTGGGTCATTCGCAAATTGAGGAGGAAGGGGAAGGATAGGCAATGGAGATGGAGGAATAACCTTTTGAAAGTTCTTACTACTAAAATCCATAGCAACAGTAGTAGTAGTAGGAGCACCACCATCTGCAAAACTAGCATTGTTGTTGAAGTTGTTTCTATTACCAACCATCATTTGCTCTCCCCTATTAGTTTCTTCCCCACCCAAAATGAATTTTACACGTGTTCCTCTACCACCATTACCACCAGGTACTGGTACTGCTTCTTCTCCATTTGGTTTCTTCAATATCGATTTCAGCTGGCCTGCTGACTGTGAAGGAGGCTGGTGTGCAAATGCTGCTGCTTGTCGTTCCACCAGAGGATCCTTGGCCTGCGTGGCATCAACAGAAGTGTCATCACCTCTGCTTTTTTCAGATTCAGGTGCCTCAGATGCAGGGGCGCCCACTTCCCGGATGTTGTATCTTACATTCACATTGCCAAACAAGGATTTGTTAGCAACAGCATATCTGAGAGCTGCCTGTGCATCAAGCTTTCTCCGGAACACAACACGGCATTGTGATGACTTCCAAAAGACACGGATTGCGGACTGATCTATCGACCCAAATCGAGCAAACTTTGCCTTCAGCTGTGCAGCAGATGGAAGCGATGTCTCAGGAGGGAACTTCATCACCAACATGGTGGGCTCATTAGCTCTAACTGGAGGCTCCATCTTTTTATAAGAATCTGGTTTAACAAACTTTCTAGGAGCTTGAGCCACTGGGTGTTTGCCTTCAGGCCGGTGGGTAGTGGCAGGCAGTTTTCCTTCCGCTCGCTGGGTAGCCAGGGGTTCCTTTCCTTCCGCTCGCTGGGTAGCCAGGGGTTCCTTTCCTTCCGCTCGCTGGGTAGCCAGGGGTTCCTTTCCTTCCGCTCGCTGGGTAGCCAGGGGTTCCTTTCCTTCCGCTCGCTGGGTAGCCAGGGGTTCCTTTCCTTCCGCTCGCTGGGTAGCCAGGGGTTCCTTTCCTTCCGCTCGCTGGGTAGCCACTGGCTCCTTTCCTTCTACTCGCTGCATATCCAAACTTCTCTGTCCAGCCTTCTTCCCAGAAGCCAATGACTTCAGGTGAGTAATTTTTTTCAACCTTTTTGCTGCAATTTCTTCCTGGCGATCAGATGGCAACCGCTTCCGTCCAGCTTTTGTTGGATCATCAAGTCTGGCAAGGGATTTTGCTGGTTTTGAAGATGTCAAACCTCTGGAATTCTCACTGGCAGAATAGTCAGAAGCCCCGATATTGGAAGAGGATTTAGCGCCACGAGCTTCAACAAGCTCAGTCTCAGATGGTGATGATAAAGCCAAGCTTTTCTGGTAAACAAGGGACCGGAATCGCAGAAAGAAAGACATTGTAACTGAAGGGCTGTTTCTTTCTGCACCATGAAAGGGATCAAGAGCTAGAGCTTGCAAATCACTCAGTAGCTGGGGTAGCTCAAGCTCAATACTGTTGGGCAAGGTATTGCTGGTGCCAACATCTTTCTGCTGACCGTTAAGCTGAAAATCCTCTCCAGGAGACATACTGATTTGAGTGGACTTTCCAGATGAGATTCCCGCTACCCCACCTTTTCCAGTGGCCAACCGCTTCTTCGGATGATCAGGATTAGTTTCTGCTCCCAACTCTTTCTTCTTTTTCTTCTTTTTCTCCCCCATAATAGACGTCTCAGAGCTGAGGAGCCCTGTATGTCGTTTAACGACTTTAACCTTCTTCACTCCACTACCAGTATTCGTTCCACCAGATTGCGAGGCATTAAGTGGTGAAAGATGTGAGCCAGGGCCACCATCCTGAACTTTACTCAATCCACTGTCTCCTTCAGCTCTTGCAGAAAAGTTTAGTTCAGTTTGCTGAGAAAGTTCATTCGATCTGGATGCTTTTTCACTCTCTTCATATTTAAGGTCAACTATACCCTCCTGTTCCTGAAAGGTTGGTGATGTACAACCTGAAACACCCTTAAGCTGCTCCTTCCCAGGCAAATCAGACCACCCCACACTTTTCAGATTGTCAGCCACATCAGATCCTGGCTCACCTTTTATTTCTTTCACAGCATCCTTGTTATCAAGAGATGGCTTTGCATTTAAACTAGCACCACCATATCCTGGAGCCTGATCTGAAACTAATGCTGCTTTGCCAGCACCATCTTCACTAGAATCAACACCTTCTCTGGTTATGAATGGAGATTGTTCATGTTTTGTTGAAATGTGGGGTGCTGGAGCTCTTTTTTGCAACACATAATCACCAGCTTCTGCTGCTAATGAACCCTCCACGTGAATTGCTGGGGATGATGAACTTGCTTGCCTTTGGCCAATTTCAAAAGTTCCCGGGTCATTTGGCTCATCTCTTCGCTGAAGGAGATATTTGTCCCTTTTTGAATGCTCCTTGACTTTTATAGGTTTTTTTGAGCTCTTCTCACCACCCAGAGCTTCAGCTATCACCAATGGACCACTTAAAGGAGCTGAAGGAGCAACAACCCAATGAGAATATAAAACATGGGATAAGAAAAAGCTAATAGAAGGGGCATTACAAAAGGCCATTCAAAAGGAATTCATGAAACACACGCTAATAAAGGAAGAAACGTGCAGGACCCATGTATGATTTGTGATGATAAAAGAACGAAACCTATACCAAAAACACAAGTGATTAAAATTGCTGAAAATTTTCAGATGAAGGAGCTCATTTGTGTTCTATAAAATCCCTGAAATAACAGAATATAGAATTACTTGGTGCAGTGAATCTTACACAACAAAAAAAGAAAAGAAAAGAAAAGAAAAGAAAAGAAAAGAAAAGAGTGTTCTGTATATTACACACATTGCAGTTTTAATTGCAACAGAGTTAATTTTAAACTCAGAATTTTAGGCTAGAAGTCTTAATACTACCTACCTTTATTTGACATGAAATGAAACAATTCAACTCAGGCATAACACTTTATTACCAGGCAAATTGGAAATCCTTCCGTTAATCAAATGTCAAATTCAATAGCAAGCAACTACATTAAAAGGGGACAATTAGTTCTCAACGGCAGACAAGATATAAAGATAAAAAATTTCCATTTTGGAAAAAAATTGAGTTGAATAAAAGGACACAAGCAACGATGCTTTGAGGTGCCAGTCAGAAATACAAGCATTTTAAAAAATACATAAAAATAAATGTGCATGCTTGCTACATTAAGAGTTTCAACAAAGTTGTGCACGCATCCTCAAAAGCTACTGTGATACAACCACTACCTTACACTTTCTCAATGAGTTAAAAAATTTACCATTTGATAACCACTGATACCCCATCCTTTTGTTACAAAACAGAGTGAGATCTAAACTCTCATACCTTCACTGCAACTTTAAGGTAAACGCTTGTGTTGCATCAGAGAAGTGAAAGCACTCAGTGCACAAGCAAAAGCGTGGTGAAGTAATTCTAACTATTTGTCACTATTCAAGAAGAAATGTAAATTGGCATCTGATAGAAACAAAACGGCACACAAGGAAGAAGCATGGATATCACCCATCACGGGGCAATAAAATCAAGATAATATCTCCAATGCACAAATCAGAGCAGATGTTCAAAACCTATGCAATCTGCAAGGCTAAAAAATCAGGGAAAGACAAATAAGATAATACCTCGAGTTGGCTCTTTAGCAAGCTGATTTGAAACCTTAATTGTATCATTCAAAGGCCGTGAATTGTGAACTCCAAATGCCTGTGCATATGTCTCATCAAACTCTTCAAACACAGCCTTGCGAAATGCTGAAACCCTAGCCTTATTCTTAATAAATTCAAGACCATCCTGATCACACGCATGAGGCCCCGCAGCCAACTGCTTCACAAAAGCAAGAGCTTCACCCGGCTTAAACCCATCTCTTGCCTTCATAATCTGATTCACCGAGTAAACCCCTCCTGGCTCATAATCCGGCACATCCACTGCAAAATACCCTGCCACATTCCCAGGCCTAATATTATACTTATTCCTACACTTACAAGCCAAACCAAGTGCACTCCTCCTACTAGCCTCATCTGTAGCCTCCTCTACCGCCCTAATGAAAGTCCTCGAATTCGTCTGCTGCGATTTCTCTGCGAAATTCGCATCAAACGGAATAAGCTCCGCCGGATCAAACCAACCATAACTACTATCCCCAAAAAACGCAACCAACACATGACCTTCCCTCCTCGTCCGCCTCACCGAAGACGAAGCAAACGCCTCATTAAATATATGCCCCGGCCACCACGGATGCGATTTCACTTTCCCCCATACCATATCACCAACTTCAAAACCATAACTTAATGCCCTAGACGTACCTTCCATTGCTTCATTCTTCTCATTAGCAACAAAATCATCAAATTCACTCCATAAAGATTTATAATCCCCTACCGCTAACCTGTTATTCTGCTCTCTCTCTTCAAAATCAATACTGCTTTCACTTCTCAACTCAGAAACCCTAGATCCTTCTTCTTCTTCCTCTTCTTCAACCTTAGAAACCCTAACATTGTTACCTTCCTGTTCAGAAACCCTAGTTTTTTCTTCTTCCTCTTCATTCGATTTTTTAGCGTCTGATTCAAAAGATATCATTTGCGAGAGGTGGAATTGATAAAATAAACCCTATAAAGCTGACGTCTTGAAGGCTAAAAAGGCATTTCTATTGAGACTGATTAGGGTTTGTTTGGTTCCCGTGGAAGTGTGGGGACTGTGAGATTTTTGTAGGGAAAGAG